TTTCCGTTAGATTCTTTCGAACACCCCTCTGTATGTGGCCCGCCTTGCTCCTTTATAACGACTTTCCTTAATCGAGTCTGCAACTATTAGCGTGTTCCATAGTAAGTTCTTACTATCATTTTCTTTATGCTCCTGCAGCCGAAATCGATGGCTTCAGGGAGTAAAGCGGCCTTCCCGCAGATTGGGCTGTAGTTGCTCCTAAGCCCAAAGATGACTTTCGCCACCCCCCCAAGGGTTGTTTTACTTTTTTCGTGGACCAAATAATGTCGGGCCTGCGTTTCCCGATTCAACCCGAACTCCAATCGTTAAGTAACCTTTTCGATATACCAATAAATCAGTTCACCCTTAATTCCATTCGAATAATGGTAGCCTTCATAGTTGTTACCCGCATAGTTTCAGGTACTTTTTTACCCGAGTTTTTCCTTTACTGTTACGGGTATAGGTTTAGCAAAGACGCCCACTGTCTAGGCCGTCGAGTGGGTGTCACATTTCTTGACGACCTTTCTTCCAACATTACTGAATGGAAAAAGAAATACTTCTTCATTCGACCTGCTCCTGGCCAATATCCCTTTTCGAATGAGTGGATTAGCCATAAGACAAAGCAGCGTAAGCGTCCCGACTCTTCACAGTTCGCTGATATGCTAGAAGAGTTAAACCAACATGTATGGAGCGCTCGTCAACTTACCAAAGATACCTCTTTACTTAACCATGTTGGTATTTGCGTTGATAAAAGTGCTCCTCGTCTTGTCGATCCTTGTAAGCTTTTTCGTTTGTCGTTCCTTATTTACCGATCGTTTGGTCTCGTGTTTCTGCGTTTATTTGAAAAGCGAGTAAGGCTGGTGTGCTTATTTGTACTTGATCGTTTTGTTGGGTTGTTTTTTTTTTTTAGTAAAAGCGTTGGCTCGCTTCGAGAAGAAGAAAGCAGAAGCGGCCCAAAAATCGGTTGTCCAAGAGCTCGGGGGTGGCTCGGATTCCGCCGCTTCACCGGCGGGGGTCGAGACGACTGCGGCTAAGAAAGCTAAAGTTGTTCTTCCCTCCGCCTCTGTCCCTGCCAAGTCGTCGGGTCCTTCTTCCCACAAGAGGTCTCACGATCAGAGGGATAAGGCGTCGGCCTCCGATTCTTCGAAGCGCCAGAAGGGGAAGGAGTCGACAGCTGAGGTCGACACGGTTCCGCCCCCGACTGGAGGGAACGTGGGGCAGCCGTCGCCTGTGAGAATGCAGTCGATAACCCTCCAACAACCGTCCCGGCTTTATGACAATCCCGACTCCCTCCAGATCCTCAACTATCTGCATTCGATTATTCCTGAGGACGACCAAGTCCGGACCGATGGAGATCCCTGCCTTCGGGCCCGCTATGCGGCTCGGCTCATTCCTTGGGTAAATTTTATCTTTGTGTGCTTTTCTTCCTTTTCTTGTTTCTAGTTGGATTGCCGTTTTATCTGTTTGTCCTCTTTTTTTTGTGCTAGCTTCTTGCCTGCATTCTCCCAACTATGATTGAGGAGGCGACCTCTCCTGAGAACAACATCAAGGTCTTAAGGGAGAAGTATGCAGGCAAGTGTGCCGAACTTGCGGCCAAGGAAGAGGAGCTTGAGGCTGCTAACGCCATCATCACCAAGCTCCGTTCCGACAAGGAGGTGGCTATCCACAAGGCTGAGCGGCTGAGGGTCGACTTGGCCAAGGCGAGCGATGAGATCCTGGCCG